GCCGCTACTTCCGTGTGCAACTCCTTCCACCGTCGAGGGAGAGGATCACAGCTTCCTCCGCCACTGACGAACACCACAGAAGCTTCCTCCACCCATGACATCACCGTCTACAGCTTCTGTCGCTGCTACTGCCGTCCATAGCTTCCTCCACCGTTGCTACTGTCGTCCGAAAGTTTCTCTATCACCACTGCCCTCTCCTTCCCCACTTTCCACTATCGGTGACTCTTTTTCCCTCTCTAACTACTGTTAATAGTAAATAATCTGCTGTTAACAGTAGATTATTAACTATTGTTATCATATAATAGTCCATAGTTAGATTTTAACACTACTAATTTCTATTTATTTAGAACTGTTATTAGGGTTTCATAATTTTTATTTATATAATCATATTTATCAATTATATTATATTTTTTTATTTTTATTTTAATATTTCATAGCATCTCTCTTCGCATGAGCGAGCGCCTAAAGCCTCGGACATTTTGAGACCTTGACATCTTTTAGTGCCTAACGCTTTTTAAATCATTGGATCTGAATTATAATTACAGCAACAAAGAATGCCAAATAGCTTCAAGCAACAACATGAGGCAACACACTGGTCAGTGGCAAAGTCCTATTCAGATCTTGAAAGACATCCTACAAAGTAACAAATGATGAAAACAACATTCAAGAACCAATGACAAGTTGAAAAATAACAAAGGCTTTGCAGCGATGAAAAGGATGTATGAAAGCCTCATGACAAAAGATGATGACAACATTCAAGAACCAATAACAATCTGGAAAAAAAAGAGAGAACAAAGGCTTTGCAAACATCAAAAGAACATTTGAAAGTGTCATGAAAGGAAGCTCTGATCATCAAAATCAACCCCATTGATATAAACAAGAGAATGACAAGTTCCATAGCATATTCACAAATAGGAAAGTAAAAGATCTCCGGCAGTAGACAAAGATGATGATTTATGGGATGGATTTCTTATATCCAAATGTTAAAGAAGCAACGATCCACCATCTACTATATTTTCTGTTGGATACTTTGAAAATAAATGTAAATTAAGATGAAGACAATGAAGAAGAAGAAATTCCAGAATCAGCCAAGGAGTTCCAAGTTATGGATCCACTTGTAGTTCCTACAATTATTGCACCACATCACATGGATATCACAAAGGAAGATTGAGAACCAAGACACAAATTCTTCACCAACAACATGAAGAAAAGTCCTGGTAGGAAGTCAACTCCAGAATTTCAGTCCCTTTACTTGCGTATCCTGGAGCTCCAAAACTGAACAAACTTGTCCATGTATGGAGATCATTGTTCATAGATTGTGCAGCAAATGTTTTGATTGTGATAATAAAAAAGTAAAAATCAAATTTCATCATCAATTTAAAAGATAAATGACCAATAACAATATGGAGATTCCACAAAAGAGGAACATAGAATACAGGCCCCAAATTTTGAAGAAATGAAATACAAACTAGGTCTGAAATCAATCCTGACAGACTGGTTTTGATGCAACAGAAACATAGAATACCAAATACCAGAAACAAACTTAAAATTCCCATTTATTTTTTTGGTTAAATTTCATCATGCAAACCGCAAGAATACATTTTGTAGATTTGTACAAAACAATGGCACATAAGAAAGTAAAGACAACTAAACAGAAGCAGATATTTCCTCAACAAAAGCAATGCAAAGTTTAACAAGCCATAATAATTTAAACAGAACCAGTCAACATTTGATTGTTTGACAATAGATTTAAACTTTAGAAATTTCCAGAATTTCACACTTACAGCTTACTTAAATATGCATTTTTATCACAACACATTAAGTCAGTATGACAACTATATAGTAACCATCACTATGCATAACCAATACAAGGACTACAAAGCATCGTTGTCAAGTTTACATTCAGCAATATACCTGAAGTCTGCACAAAAAGACCCCTGATGAGACTTAGAACATACCTGCTACCTTCTGTGAACTAAGTTTTTTTTCTCGGAGTGAGTCCTGGCAACCCTTCAAATAAATCTGAAAGATGACTCTCCAAATCATCTGACGTGTACTTTATGTATTTTCCATGCCTTCCGCCCTCTAATTGACCACCAAACCTTCCCATAAAAGAGCGATAAGCTGGGATAACCTTTTCTGATATAGAAATCCTCAATTCTTCTCGAAGCTGAGGATCTGGAACCTTCCAAGTCGTCTGAACCCTGTATATTTCTTCAAATGCCATGTTAAAGTTCTTGAACTTCTCTTTGAGAGCAACCTTTGAGATGCTACTCGAGCTCCCACTTCCATATCCATCATCCTTCAAACAAGACAACACTTTTGTCCATGAAGTCCTAAGGTAGCTTGTGGCATACTGCCGAATTTGGCTGCGATGCCTCCTTATCCAATGGTCTCCCAAAAGCCTCCCAAGCTCTGAATCCTTTACTTTGTTGACTATATAGAGTATATTGTTCATCAAAAATATATACCGCATTGCTCCATCTTCATAAACTTTAGATTTTTCATCCAGATTAGATTCTAAATATGAGATTATCAAAAGCATGCGACGACCTAATGGAGTCATATTCTCAAAATTCTCTCCATCAGTGTTTTTGTTCTCCCAACCTTCAGAACAACCCTCGTCAGTGCCACACACTCCACCATCATCCAAAAGGATATTTAACGTATTGATGTAAACAACCAGAAATTTTACATAGTTCATCACATAACGGGTCATGGGATGGATCTCACCTCCCTGTGTTGGCTTCCGAGATGGCTCCTTTTGAATTGCATTTCCAAACTCCATGAGAGTCCCTTTTACTGCATCACCCAACCTCTTCAGAATCCCATCAGCCTCGTCACATATGAGGTCCTTTGGGTCTGCGGCAAATAGGGCATGGAGATCTGGCAAAACATCAGCGAGGGCCTCGTACATATCGAGAATACGAAAGAGCTTCTCTGATGATCGCTGACATATCACAATGGCATCCCCAAAATTGAGTAGCTGCATGACAAACCCCTTGGTGGTCTCTGCAAAGCACTCCTCCCTGAGCTCCTCTGAGGCAGCAAGAATTTGGTCACAGAGCCGTCTCTCACCCCAGAGCAAAACACGAACGACAATCTTCACGGCCTGAATCCACTTCTTCATCTTGTCATCGAGCATCCGCCACTCGATTCTCTGAACCTCCTCAATGCTAATCCGATCGACACCAAGAATGGAGAGGCACTCATCGAGAATGTCCCGTCTGACGGTGCAGTAAACATGACGGTGCTCTCTGTCATACTTGGCCTCGATCATTCTGTCTGCGATCGCCTTCAGATCGGCAACAACTTCAGGATGGATCAGATCTAAGTTCCGATCATCCATCAGGCTGCTTCCAGACCTATCCTCAGGGCTGCCCTCCTCCTGCTGCGGTGTTGGCTGGTGGTGGTGATGTTCATCGTCAACAGAGCTCTCAAAGTCCTCTATAGCATCACCGCTGTCAGAGGCGAAGGAGAGGGAGAGGCGGCGAATGGAGGAGCAGAGGTCGTTAGAGTCAAGGGGGACTGCGTTGCGGACCATCAGGTGGCGGAACTCCTCCCCAAGGCGGGACATTGCCATCTGAAGTGCAATCTCCGCACGACCGACGAGGTCTTCCGCAGCGCCGGCGCCGGCGCCGGTGGAGATGCTTAGTTCGGCTAGGGAGATGAGACAATCGACGGCGGCAAGGTACTCCTCAGCGTCCTCAGGGCAGGATTCCCACAGGAGGGAATCGGAGGCGTCCCAGCGAAGAACCACCTTCTGGGCGGCCTCGAGGCGGAGCTCAGCCACGGAGAGGTCATGGCCATCGCCATCAACGTCGGCGCCTCCGCCGCTGCGGTCCGAAGAAGGGGCGAATAGGTCATTGATGGTGGAGAGGCGGTTGTCGAAGCCGGAAAGGATGCGGATCATGTCCTCGGCAGCGTTCTTCGAGGTGGCGAGGCTGCTGACGATGTGCTTCGCCGCAGCGATCACCTTCTCCTGGCCATCGGCCCGCGCCGCGGCCGCCGCCATCGCCGATCGGAGATCCGGTGGTGGTGATGAAGCTCTTAAAAGGATTCCGGTCTATGGTCGGGGTCTCGGGATCGGAATCGAGAGCGCCAGGGTCAGGGTTAGGGTTGCGAGGGGAGGGAGAAGGGGGAAGAATGGAGTGGGCGTCGATTCGGGTCGCTTCTTCGTGGTCTTCTGCTCTTACTTTCCAATCCGTTGATCCAGCAGAGCGATACCGCCACCACTTGTGACTTCGCTGAAAGCAGTGAGGCAGTGTAAGTGAAAGACGGGGAGAAGCGTCTGGGTGTGGAGGAACGGAACCCACCCGGCCCGTCAGTGGACCAGTATTATGAGTTACTGATCCGATCCAATTAAGACTCGGGTTGTGCTAGAAATCCGGGTTGGGTTGGTCCGAAACCCAATGCTAATCCTACTTGAACGGGTCAAACATAATATATAGATATACATATTTTTTATTTCATATCGCAGCAATCACCTATATTGGCTGAGAGCCCCTTTACTATTAATCCGTAACTTCTACTTTTGGCACAACCAGTGTTGTGAGCAAACCAGATCCAACCCACCCGTGTTGTGTTGGGATCAATTTGCTCAAGAAGTATGTTACTCTTAAATAATTTTCAAAGAAAATTGGGGGTTTTCTCCAATAAACAAAAATGAAAACTTGATGCTCTTTTACCTTTTTCCTATTCCCTATTTCCATCCTGATTCAAAAAGAAAGTGATCCTGTGCTCATACTTGTGCTCATCAAAATCTATCCCTGACAAGCCGTAGGAGGTACACGTGGAACAGGTTAGTTCAAGTTAGGAAGCAATAAACGAAGCTGCAAAATTCTGAAATCCAATCTTGCCTTCTCCACTTACCTTTACATAAATAAAAAAAAATTAACTCACCAATCAGATTGGATTTCTTTCACCCCTACTTGGCTGAAACAGGCAAGAGAACAAGTGAACATGTAAATATAAGCAATTGTTTTAACATAGAAAATAAAAAACTATTAAAATCTAACTTAAGTGAAATGTGAAGATGATATTTGTTTTGTATGATGGTACCAACATGATACCCGAAAGAATATAAAATGGTCACACAAAAAATGAAATTACGTATTCTTTCTGATTGTCTATCTTGCCAATGTGAGATTTTTAAACCGAATACAAAATTTCAATATTGATAACTTGAATTTAAACTGGATTAATGCACAACATATGGCTCTCTTATTGGACTAGGCACTTCCAGGATACCATTCATCAATGACCTTGAGACATGTCAAACCGAAATTTTGGCATGGCTTGGGCAGCTCTCATGGCAGCTTCAACTGAAGCTTTCTGACTTCAACCTGATTGGTAAAATCATCTTCGAACTTGCTTGGTTTGGTCCAGCATGAGGGCTAAGTCATGTCTGGCACCATACACAGCATACCATTTCCAGTGTTTCTTTCCAGAGGATACATAGATGCACCTTTCACATAGCTCTGATGCTTCATAGCAGCCTTTCTTAGGCCGGAGATTAGTGGAGACTTTCCTTTGGGACGCTTCTTTATGATGGAACATGCACCAAATGGGTCACTCATCCCAGCTCCAATCCTCCTGAGGATAAAAAGATGGACCAGGTAATGAGCTTACGTGAAAAAAAAACTCAATGCATAATTTGAACCTTCAGGGTAGAGAGTAGAACCCAGAATGTAAATCTAGAAAAATCAAAATAAATACGAGCAAAACTATTTTCTAAAGAGATTTAAAATCAAGACACTGTGAAGACACCAATTAGCCATCAACAATGGATTAGATTCATATATGATACTATGATTTTTTTTCTCTTTTTTTCTTGAAAATAGAGGGTGAGCCTTGTGCAATGGTAGGATTGCTTCTTTGCAATCTTAATAATCAGGATTCATGTGTATGTTGGTCCTCCCTAAATCCCATTTTAACAGAAGCCTTATTTACTGAATTTACTCTTTTTCTAGAATTTATGATTTTATGTAGCCAACAAGGTGAAAATTCAAATTTTGGATGGTAATAAATATTGAAACAAAAAATGATATTACTAACAAATATTGGGACAAAAAGTGATATTACTAACAAATGTTGAGAGAAAAAGCGGTGTTACTAACAAATATTGAGACAAAGAGCAATATTACTAACAAATATTGAGACAAAAAAAGCAATATTACTAACAAAGACTGAGACAACAAGCTATATTACTAACAAAAATTGAGACAAAAAGCGATATTACGATATATCTGCATCCAAATCCACCCTATCTTCATGGTTAAAGACCTCTAACTTATCATATAATATTGAAGTACACCAGCATTGTGTTGCTGACATTTATAACAAGAAGCAATCAATAAATTTTAGCAAGCCCATAACATTTTTGCAATATATTCTACAATCCAACTTACAAAGATCAAAGGTAACTGTTTTCTCCCTTGTGCATCAGCCATCAAGTGCATACCACCATCAGTAAATTTACATGTCAAATAATTAAAAATCAATAAATTTACATGTATTTTAATTAAAAATTATGTTCCCTGATCAGTGCTGGAAATACAAAAGGTAAAAAGCCATTGCAAATTTTATCATACGCACTTAGGGAGGATGCAAGAGAGGGGAGGGAGGACTTTATGGCTTTGTTGTTTTTGTTATTGTTGTAACTAATCCACTTCAGTTTGTCACACAAATTCAACCAAGTCAACTTCGTGCAAAAAAGTAATTTTGAGCATTCTCCACTTCTAACATATTCAGCACTATTCGGTCTTCAATCACTATTTGATTTTCCATGGAATTTCCTATATTACCCCACTTCCACTAAACCAAAGGTTGGCTGCCATCATGCACATCAGTTTAATAAACTACATTAGTTAAATTAATCTCTTTCTTTACTCTGAAACTTCCCCAGCTTATGACAATAACCTTTGTCACATACAACTCACAGAACCACTATATCAGCAAGCAGAATGTCAATTCAAAACTAAAAGCACATGATAATGTTATCAGTCTTCAAATTATCTAAACAAATCCGTCTTCAATTGCATAAATAATTAGTAAAAACATCAAATATGTCCTCAAAAACCAGTTTTTATTGGCTGAAATCCTATTTTAGTTTGATTGCTTTCACACATGTGAGAACCACCAACCAATAAGTTCCTTGATGTCTCCAAAGTCGGTTGTCGAGTGCGGTGCCAAGCACGACATGATCAGGTCCAAGCCCAACGTGACAGCAGGCTGACCCGACCTGAGGTGCTGAGAAGCCAAACTGGAGGTAAACTACCAAAGTGGAGATAAAGTATCGACGTGGAAGCTCTCGACCTACCGAAGTGAAGCCAAAGTGGAGCTCCCAATCTCCGTAGTGTCCAAACACTTCCAAGGTACCTGTGGTAATTGACTGACGTTGGGTGTTCCCAACCTGATCCCTCGGATGCCTAAATCGATGAGGAGTCTAAGGTGGAGTTATCGAGAGTTCAAAGACTGTAGAAGAGACAGAAAGGGACCTACTAATTATAGTGGGGGTACTTAACCGCTTGCGATCAGCGTAATATTCTACAAATGAGAGCTGATTCAGAGAATATTTTCTATTGAAACGACTGCTTATGACAAATCTGATGTAATAGATTTGTGTCACATGGGTGTCCATGTTGGCATCCATATGTCAAGTTAGGAAAGGATGATTTTTGCCCTTATCATTACTCAAGATAGGTACAAACAGTAATTTTTTAGTCTCAGAACCCGGCAATGCTTTTTAGTGACCAGTCTGAAGCGCAAAGGAAAGGCCATAAGGGTCACAACACAGACTTCTCTAAAGCCAGCATCCTCAAGAAATCAAAACAACCTAAGCCTTTTAGTGCTAAAACCTGGACCAAACAAGTACTTCAAGACATGTTAGGTCAACCAGATCAAAGAATGAACGGATTCTACAAATCATGCGCAAAAAAGAAAAAAGCAGGGAAAAAGGGCAGAGACCAGTGCTTGCCATGGTCAGTATGTTATGTGCCAGCCAGCACTGGTGTATGCATGTCAACAATAGCTCTAAGACACTAGCATAACAGACTGACATGTATATCTACTCGTGATAATCAATGGAAGACCAACAGATCCATGTAAGAGACTTAGCACTTAAGTTTTGCACTTTGCTCCACTTCAACACAAAATATTTTAGTATGAGTTTTGAGATGGCACTAACCATTACAGTTCCAAAGAACTTTTGGCACTCTATCATAGACTTTTTTGGTTGGCTAAGGCCTAAGCAAGCATAAACAATGCATTAAGGAACATAACGACATAACTTTCACAGAGAGGATAGGCCCACTTGAACCAGACCAAAGTAGCCTAGCTGTAAGGGTCTCGACATTTCTATATCATACACTATTGTAATGGACTGTTATTCAAACAATAATTGATGCATTGCAATATTCTAATCTAAGATCAAAAATAGACTGGGACGTTACTAAGTCATTTAATATAAATTGAGGAAAGAACGTCCAGCTATTTTAATGTATGCCCAAGGAGCATCACAACCGTTTGCCAACAGTAGGTTTATCAGTAATATTGTTATCAACGGTACCAATTTGGGATATTGAAGAAATACTCAGAATCAAAGAGATGAATCAGGGTATTCAAAAAGTAAGATATACTAATTAATCATCAATATAGTACTTAAAGCATCAGCCAGGACATAAAATGAAACTAAAGAATGCACAAATAACTAAAACCACTATGTGAAGCAGCAGGTATATGCAAATAATGGACCTTGACAATTTGGCTAAATAAACAAACAGTTGTTACCAGCTGATGGTAGAACCAGTAAATTAAACATCAGTCGGGAATCATGTTAAGCAGTTAGCACAATACCATATTAAGATCAACTTATAAAAAGAAATTATCATAGCTCGACCAATCATAATTTATATGATTATAAAATCAACTTATAGTTATAGAACTTCATATATTGGAAGCTGCCTTGGTGATATAATGATAATACAGAAGGTTTCCCTTGTTCACAGATATACAGTCGTATTATAAAAAGATGTAGCAACATTTGCTAAGTGTCATCAAGTAATTTATTTTAGTTGTAAGAAAATGCTAAGACAGATATAAGTTGCATATGATTTGGTTACCTCAAAATTTTTTCAGATGCAGTTCGAGCAGCATTAAGTATGCTCTCATTTGGTAACCAGTTAACTACCCTACTAAAATTGGCCCGCATTGGAGAGTGGATCTTAATAAGCTGCATAGGAGAGAAACCAAGCATTTAGCTATTGGCCCTCACTTCCAACTATTATGACAGCAAAAAATAATAAAAAGAATTAACTTACTCCTAAACACTCCATCATCTGATAATATGTCCTACCATGAAGTGGAGTATGCCCCTGCCTAGACTCTGAAAAGTATCTTGTCCTACAAACAAAGAAAGACAACTACAGCTTACAAAAGAATAGCATTACTGTGTTTATGTTCAAGCAAAGAACAAAGAGTCCTGCTTTGTACACTACCATTCCTTGTATCCTGGATCCACTGTGAAACCATACATCTCAACAGTCTCACAGATGGATAAAGCAAACTCAAGAGCCTTAAGCCCTGTTCCTTTCGCTGAAGAGCCAAATGATGCCCCTAACATGAGATATACTTTGTTCCTAATAGGGACTTCCTACAACAAAAACAAAAGGGTCAAGTGTCACACATATCCAGAAAATTTAATTTTAAAGGTTCATTTGAGTAGGATTGATTCCCCATGCTCAAAATCTGTCAGTGACAATAGTTGTGTTTCCATGCTCGAAATCTATCAGCAATAGCAGTTGTGTTTACTGTTTAGCATGTCATGGTATGTTTATGCAAATGTGTGATATTATGTCCTGTATGCCATCACTGTTAAGCATTGAAGCTCAGGCAATTATTTTTTGCTACCAGTATGGTCATGTCGGGTGAAACTTTATGATCTGAGGTACAAACAAACAAGATTAATTGTCATTTGTAAGCACTTGACAGATACCTAAGGAACAAATGCTTTTAACATTTGTGAGCCGTAACCAGTTCTATTGATGTGTGCATATGAACACAGAAAGGAACAACATACCATCCACCACAATGGGGACACTATATTGATAAAACTTTAGATTAATGGGAAACTATATTGTTAAATATGCATGCTGTTTATGGATGAAATTTAAATAACACTACAAGCATGAATCCAATTCCCACTATTTGGAATGCTATTTACACAGAAGAAACATATGAAATGCTGAAATAGTGAGAATAATTCATACTACTATGCTGATTAGGCTTATGGCACAAGGTCAGTAATGTGACTGATAATTTATGGAGCAATCTCAGTTTCTGACAACCCTATGAACAAGAAGCTTATACCCACAAACTATAAACCTATTATTGACAACTTGGCTGATCATGACATCATCATAGAGATATGTTCAAATGAGAATCAAATTAGAGCCCTATTCAGCCAGGATTGACTATCCTTAATGCTCCTTCTTTAGTGATGGTAGGCAATTATGATTGTTAGTGAAGAGCTTAGACCAAGACCACCAGGGCAAACACAATTGAAGAGCACTTAAGAATTATCTAAAATTTGATAAGGGGTAAGAGGAATGGAAGGGTATATGTACCATGTTTAAACTCCTATTCCCCCAGGGCAAAGGCATTTTGATGGTTGTCATAGCTTAAGGAGTCTTTCCCCTAATGCAGATTGGACTCAGACCAACATTTGCTTGAAGGTCCCTGTCAGCTGGAAGTGAACTTAAAAGGCATTTTGATGGTAGTATGTTGTGCTATAAAGGTAATAAAATGGGTTGAGAGCAAGAATTACCAACTGTTATTATCATTATCATGGATGACAATTCAAAGAGCTATCAAGAAATATATGTTATATACAGCTAAAAAAAGTAATGACTAGTGAGGATCAAAGAAAAATCATAAATTCATATATGGAAGCTGTCACACTAGCTGCTATGACAATGTCTAACATAACAGCATGCACCTTTTAGAAGGAACAACTTAAAATATTTTTGAGCATGATCTAATTACCCGAATCATGTTATTCATGACATCATGAATAGTGGTTTTGATGATCAGGACCTCCTCCTTAGTTTCTGCAAAATGCAAAACTCACCATGGTTTATATTAAAAAAGATATACATGAAAAAAGGTACAAATTTCATACCATCTAATTCTGCAACTTTGTCAAGTGCCTTGGCAGATCCTCTATTAAGAAGACGAAATGTACTTTTCCGACCAACATATTTTGTGTAGTTCTGAGATATTGTAAGAGGCAAGAAAAATTCTTAGTAGGTCAGTAAATACTACTGCAGCAAAGTTAGGAGAGGTACTCATTAAACCTGGATTGGAGCTCCATTTTCTCTAACAACAGCATCATAATCATCTATTTCTTCCCCAAAATTTGTTTTTAGAAGGTCTCCAGAATTACCAATGACAGCACATCGTTCAAATTGCCGAGGCACAAAAGGTGGTGTTTCAGGGAGTACTAAAGAAAGTTTTTCCATGCATAATGTCCTATTCTTGCACCAGTCACTAGAATAGAAGAGAAATTTCCACATGTGTGATCATTAGCAACTTCATGGAATAAATTTACCTTCATTAATGCACCCAGCAGAGGTAAAAAGATCAAGAAAACACTATAAGACAGCCTTTCTAGCTGAATCAAGCTGGACCAACTGTACTCACAGATGTATTCCTTTGTTGATCCTCCGCCATGCATATTCCTCCCATCCATTTGGTAAAGCATCAATAAACTCTTTTGTGAGTATGGTAGAACTATTGCGAACCTAAAGAAAAATTCAATGGGTAATATTTTGAACCAGACAAAACAAGCAAGCTGTCCATAGGTCATGAATCTTAAAACCAGTATGAGCTCAAACTCAAACAATATAAAATGATATCTTGGTAAGAAATACAAATAAGACTAAGTAAAATATGGATATCCTACAGAAATATCCAGCACATTTCTAAAACATCGATCACATTTTAGAACTGCCAAAATCATCAGATGGATCATGGAACTATATATTATTTATGCTTTTGGGCTCATCCACTGCCTAGTCTATAAACAAGCTTCAAGAGATACAAATGGCAAACTCACCTGCTCCCATGTAGCAACTGCTTCACAGAGGTTGAAATCAAATGATAAGCCTTCAAGTTCTCCAGTTTTTGGATCCCTCTATAAATATAACATTAGTTTAGAAGAAATCAAATAACGATGGACTGCATAAAATTTACCTTGTATACCAAATGAAACCAGCTCAGATGAGCAAATAAAAGTCACATCTATGCTCATAAAGTAATAATACTTAAAGAATATCATCATGTAGAGCATGTTTTTTTTTCTCTAAATTGCAATCATTCACAATGAATATAAATGAATGTCATAAGAGATCTCTAAGGTGGAAATTTATCATACAAATTAAAACATGGAATGAGAAGTACTGTTTATCTACCAGAAAAAGGCTGCTCAATTTCCAATATCTTCAGGTTCCTTGACAAGTTGGGAACAGCACCACTTGAAAACAGAATTGTGGGAAGAGCTTCTAGCATGCTTCTTAATGCAGGTAAGTAAGAAAATTCAGATTTTCGAGAGAGAATGAAGAATGGTTGAATAAGAACAATGGTCCTTGATAAATGGAGAATGCTGGCATATAGATGATGGGAAAGTGTCCATGTCATGGGCCCAAAATAGCCAAAATATTGATGCTTTTTTTTTCTTGTTATGGTACTTTAGAATTTAATAAGGGTTTTTTTTTTTTTTTTTTGAAAAAGCAACACATGATCAGGAAACACATTATGAATAGTATGGATCCTTGCACCAAAAAGCTTTAGCAGATTGTCAAGGATGAGCAAGTAAGCTAACAAGGCTAACAGCTTTATTGAACTAAATGGATGAACCATGCCACTTACTGAGATTTGCAAAGGAAAATCTAACATACTTTTTTGCAAAAGCTAAGCTAGCATGAACAGAAGTTTAAATGGTTTTTCCAAGTTTTACAACCTAATATATCAATATCTTGACTGGATTATAAGATAATAGAAAGACTATTGGAGAAGAACTTCGAAGTAAAATAATTCATAACCATGTTTTGCACATAGTATAGCATTTTGTTTGATGCAGGAAACATTACAATTTGTTGTGTCAACTAAAAACAAACTCACCCACTTTGGCACTGTATCTCTAGGGTACTGAATCGTAACTTGACAATAGTCCTGGCTGACCAGAGCTTGTAATCCAAAACCATTAGCATCCTGCACTTCCAGAAGATGATGATTGAGAATCTACAAATTGTTTTGAGAAATGCTAGCAATATTATTAATTTCAACAATGTACCAAGAGCATCTGCATGATCAAACCACTTGTATTTAGCAGCACAAAGACAACATTAGATTTTAATGGCCAAAAAGCCATGTGAAGGTTAGTTCTTAAAAGTCCTTTATGTTGGGATGAATACTGCAGAAAAAGTTCCAAATTTCTCTTCCACTTTCATATCTACCTATGTTTTGCATGTCCAAGTGCACTGCCTCAGTCTTGCTCCCCAGAATGTGCATGCAATATGGAGCATGATGATCACTACCGCTTCCCTCTCCTCTCTTTCTGGTGCATCCAGATTTACAGAGGTGCAACAGCAACATAAAAGCAGTGGCATAGCAGCACGCTTAGTAACAGCAGCAGAAGTAGTAGAAGTAGCATGGAAATGCAACACTTGTTTGAATCAAAAGAGGGCCTGGCAGCTCTTGCTTGGTTTGAACATAACAAGGTTCTGGGACCACCTGTGGTTAACCACAAGAGTTCCAAACTCCTACTGCCAATAGGAGAGAGGTTGGTGACCTCCCAGGACAGCATTAGTCCCAAAAGGGAATCAACCGCAACCTTTCCAGATCAAATTTAGCCACTATCTTAATATTAGCAAAAAACTACAAGAAAAGAAGAACAGTGATAGGTAAAGGCATAATCGACCTCTTTGCTATCTATTTGCATAGAAGTCTTTGTTTTTGCAGTAAAAAAATATTTCCTTTTCCACTTTATTTCACTTGTGGAAGGCTTCTCTTTGTTGAAATAGAGAACCAAGAGAAGCAATGATTAGTGTAATCATTAACACCATGACATAAGAGATAAGGAAAAGATGTCCTACATCAGCTTACAACCAATGTTGACACATTCTTCCAATGATGTTCATGACTTCAACAAGACTTGATGTTACAACATATTGCCAAGACACTGTTAAGGATGCACAGTCACATGACAAAGATGTAAAGTTGAATTTGACAATAGTACAATTGGAACTATCTACCGGACAAAATCAATTTAGTGATCTCCTCAACAAGATGTTGATAACCCCAGTATCCAGCCTCAATCTTCACCAAATCCGTTCAACAAGTGTACTGACCATATTATTCCACTAGCTCCAACAGCACAATCATACTTGAGTGCTAAGGAGAGAGTGATACAAAAAACACCGACCAAGTTAGATAACCCTCCTGACAGCGATACTGATTCCTGCAATGTGCAAAGCCACTCTATGGGAAGGGGAATATCTTGGGTGGGACTGCACACAGCTGTCATATCTGCCTTACTGGCACTGGACCTAAGGTTGGACAATAAGTTGCTAATTCCAACAGATTTATTGCAACCACAGAAAATCCATAGATAGACAAGCCCAACCGCGACCGAACCAGATCACACGCATGAGATCAGCCACCCAGCCGCATAGGTGAAGAAGTGCGGGATGAAGAAAGATTCAGAAGAGAGCAGATGGAAAGGTGAAAACAAGAGCAGTTGAGGGAAAGAGGGATTTTTAAACTTTTAAAATTTGCAATTGTATTGCTACTAGTCAGCAAGGTTTATGAACAGACCTACAATGGAGTGCAACAAAATACTTGGGAGGATAAATATGGAGTAGAGCCACCATGCATGCCTTCAAATCCTTCTCAACCCATGAGTCAGCCATTTATGAAGGGTGAAGATAGCTGATTACCACTGCAGACCAACTAGTCAGCACAAGGAACAATAATCAATTGTTGCCACCAACCCAATGTACTACAATCCTCCAATGGATCAAACAACAAATTGGTCTTCTGCACAGGAATGCTGAAATCTAATTTGCACAGTTTGATGCTGGCAGTCCAACCAACGGAAGAAATTTGTAATGATTCTTTCACTATTGTAGCCTTGCCCAAATCCATTAAAGAAAAGATGGAAGCAAACGGTTTTTCATGAGAAGATATTGTTGTTGTGTCTCTTTTGAGATACTGTCATCCATGATCCATAACTTAGCTAAATTTTGGAGTGGGTCTATCCAAGATGTATATTTGTCTCCTTAGAGAAGAAATGCACTAGCACTTTCTCATGTAGCTTCCCACATATAAAGCTTCATAGTCTTACTTTTATACTTTGTTTGAAACACCAAAAGGATAGAAGCGAACACTGATATCTAACAAAAATGGAATACAATTGAAAAAAGAAAGTGTGGATCAAATTATAACTGTAGAAAAGACAAAAATAGAAATTTTTGACATTGTCTTTTACATATCCTTCTATTAGTGATTTTCAAGCTTATTTCATGGAATTTGAATTATTTACCATGTTGAAGTACCTTCTAACAAGTATTGCCAACACTAAAAATATATTAATAGCAACAAGACAAGTAAGCCAACTTTTTATAAAGTATTTATGAACATCGATGACAGATTTGAGTTTTAATTAGCAACAATTTCTAAATTATTGGTCCACTATGACACTAAATCTCTAAACAGAATTGTTTATTGACATATTTCGAGTACCAAACAATATTGTAATTTTCTGGGACATATCACAGTCTTAAAAGTTCAAAGCAAGCATAAAAATTAGAATACAAGAATAAAGAACATCACATTGACGAACTCAAAAATCTACTTAATTTAGACACTGATTCATACGGTAGGTCGAAATGAATTAGGGATGAATATCGAACACTCACCACGCACTTCTTGAATCCACTTTGCAAAGCCTTCAACGCCCTCAGATCATCCACCATAACCCTAGACCTGTCATCTACAGGGAAAGAAAGCAAAGGAACACAAACAACCAAACAAGAATCAAGATCCAACGACCACAGTTCCCCGGGATCAAGAAAACGAGAGTCCCGCAGCATCGAAAGCTCACAGGGATTGGAGAGTCCGACGATGTAGATGAGGATCGCGGCGACTCCCGACGCGAGAGCGAACAACAAACCTAGCTGCAAGATCCGCATCTGCTGGCGGAGACGATGATGATCGTGACAATAATACTTAGCCGGAATGCACAGGACGGATAAAAACACGTACGGATCTGCTTTCTCCCCTCCACAGTATAGAGTAGTGGGGGAGTGGAGGGAGGGAAGTTGGATCTCAGCTTCGTAGGATGGGCTCACGTTGTCTTGTGTTCCCGATGCTGCGGCTCGACTCCGGCTCGAGATGTAATGTGAGCCGGTCCGTACAGTAGGGTAAGCCCGGTTTGATGGGCCTTTGGCCCCATAGCGTTGAAATTATTATATAACTTAAGAAAACAATTTTTTTTAAAAATCAGAAGAAAAAAAGCCATAAAATAATACTATAATTAAGACAATATTAACATGATAAACTTTAGAAATAAAAAACAAATAAGTGGATCAAAATCCGCATATCCACTTATAATAGGTAATTTTACTTTCTTCAAATACGATCATTCGAAAAAAATAACGAATATAAAAATATATAAAACAACACTACAACTCTAATATTAAAATTATTTAAAATATCTTATTTACTATATAAATATTAACAAGTAATTCTAAAACACCTCTAATTTTTTGGAATGAGTCTGAATTTAATAACAATGATTTGGATCAATTTTTTTAACATTTATATTATTATTATTATTATTATTATTATATATACATATATATATACAAACATATATATATATAT